AATGAACGCGTCTCGGGATAGATTGAATAACCTAACCTTTTAAGGGGGACCTTGTCATGGTTGGGTGCTTTGCGTTAGTTGATTGACGGAGGCTAGAGCACTTCCACTCTTTCTGATTTTTGTGATGGGGTTTGAACCATGTATCTATCTATTCTCCCATTGCTACTTTTAATTGAAAGGTTAGACTTAGAGAAGAATAAGTAATAAAAAATTAGATTGCTTGTATCGATGGCACAAGAAAAATGTAGCCAACTGATGAGCACTACAATTTAAGACTATGATTTAAATAGGCTCAAAATACGATTTTGGACAATAGTTTATAGAATATAACAAAGAAGTGATCATCATGACAAATCATGACATATGAATTTCATTAGTAGAAGCTTAATGTCAAGGCTAGAGACCCTCCTATTAATTATATATTTTACCTTTGATGATGCTTTATAATTGGACCTGGCTGGAAACTTTTCTTTGGTGGGTGAGGAATGTTTTTCATATCTTTTGCTTAAACTACGCACTCAATTATGTATTTCACATGTCACACCCAAATAAATTAACAACTTAATCCTCAATTATATCATATACTTCTAATACTGACTCCCTAATACTAGCTCTTAATACTTTCTAAGTCATGTACAAATATACATAATAGGCCAAATCAATAATGCTTCATTATATTTGGATTTTGTTTTAAAAAAATTTCAACACAAAATTATAAAATAAATGCTTTAATTTAATGCCTCTAATCTTAAAATTAACAAGGAGAGTAGCTCAACTCTTCTCTTTTTTTTCTCTCTCTTGTATATTTTTTTGTCTTTTTAAAAGTAAGTTTGCGTTTTATGATAATTTTGTAAATACTTTAATTTTAAAAATATTTTGATGAATAAAAATTTTAAGTTAAATAATAGTAATTGATGTAATTTTTTGTCTATTTTGTAAATACATTTTGTTTTCTTTTTTCATTTGTGTACTGTAGAATTTTTTTTTTGATTTTTCCATTTGCATACTATAGAATTTTTTTTTATTTGAGATTGAATTTGTAGTAATTGTTTTTTAACATTATATATTTGCGTGAAAAAAATTATTTTGATTTTAAAATTAACTGTATTTTAAATCAAATAAATTAAATTTAATCAAAGCAATCTTAGTTTTACATTTTTATTATAAAAACATTAAAAATTTTAAATATATTAAAATAATAATAAATTAATTGTCCAATATTATAAAATTTTTATACATTTTATTTTATAATTTATTTTTTAAAATAATTTTTTTATCCTTATAAAAAACAAATACATCCCATCAACCTGCAAACGAACTTAGGCTCCTATGGTCAATGGCTCAATAGTAGTCAAAAAAATTTTTAAAGAAAGTTTCTAGGATACACCATTATATATGATGATGAAAGGATGCAAATTCCGTACAGATGTACAATGACATCCCATCTGCCTGAAAAGTGAAAATAATCCCACTTTGAGGAATCGGTGG